CCACCACCACCCAAAACAAAACACCACAAAAGGCCCTACTGCTAAAGCATAGTCTGATCACTGGATAGACCTTCGGACTAGACCACTGCTGCTTATGCTTTTTTTTTTTTTTTTAAAAAAAAACAAAACCAAAACAAACCCCTGAAAACATTTGACCCAAATGTACAAAGATTGTACAGCATCACTGTTTGCTTCTGGGTGCTATAGAAAGCATTTATATTGCAAAGTGTTGCATGGTTTGGACAGAAGCATGGGAGTGTTAGTTTTTTTGGCCACACCTAGATCTTTGAGGGACAAGGGTGGCTGTCATTCTTATGGCTCTTTGGAACAGCACTTTTATGCTAAGTTTGCAGATTCTGTGGGCAATGAGGCTGTGGCATGAATAAAGCTTTGCCTGAGGAGGCAGAGATCTAATGCTATTATGTGGTTGGTGATACTGGTTGAAATAAGAGGAAGATCATACTTACATAGCACAGCATTGCACAATTAACAGTAATATTTTCAGTCATTTCAAAGGGGCTTTTACTTCTGCTGACTTTTTTTGGTTGGTTTGTTTGTTTGTTTTCATTTCTATCTCCTCCTTACACCTCCTGGTGTATGGGAGCTGCCTTCACCAGATACTAAAGTAAAGGTCAGCAGCTACACAGGTCATCCAGGGGCACATTGATCCCAAGGCATACTGTCAAATGTGACCAAAACATCAAGATGAGGCTGTTCTCCCAAATATTTCCTTTTTTTTTTTTTTTCTCCCTTCCTTCCCCCCAGTAATTTTATCTGGGCAGAACCAGTGTTCACTGGGCATTTGCCTGTGATTTCCATCTAGCCAGCAAGACAATTAGCTTCTGACTGGTATCCTAAAAAGCTATAAATTCACCCATTTTAAGGGCACATAGGCTTCATACTTTGATTCCAGCATATCCAGATAGTCTCAGAGCAGCTCCAGATGTGCTATCTGAATCCATACAGCTTCATAGAAAACACTGGATAAAACAAGAGGTGTATTATTTCCAACCTAGATAATATATACACATATATACAATATTACTTAAAATTTGTATGTATACCAACTAGTATATATATGCAATATAATGTATTGGTTTATGTATTTTTTTTCAAAATTCTGTCTATATCACTGGTATTTCTCAGTCTGGCAACTGTCAATATGTGTCCAAACTTTTATTTCATGAAATAGTTTTTTTTTTTTTTCAACACCTGGATTTCATCAAGAAAAAAAAAATCTAAGTATATATACAATGGCTTTTTACAACTATGACACCTTTATTTTTCCTCTCAAATCAACTGTTCTCTTGCTGTTAACCGGTTGATGCTTTTTAAGAGAAGTGCAGAAATCGTATATAGCCAGGAAACAGCTGCACTCCACAGAGATGAAGCAAATTTGCCAAAAAAAAAAAAAAAAAAATTAGGATGTTAGTCACAATGTCAGACACCAAGAGTTTTAGCACTTGGCTCCTTTGCCTACTGCTAGATTCCTGGAAATTGTTTATGTGGAATTTGTATTTTGCTATGAGGTTTTATTGTCATTTGCAGTAAGCACACAAAAACTGGTGGGGATATACTGGTGTGGAGCTATTTAGTCAGCATGCATGAATTAAGGGAAGAGGAGACTTTTTTGAAGCCCTGGAGATGTCCTCACAGTTTAATTTCCTTTCCCTCTCTAAGTATCCATATACTTTTTGCAATTAAGGGTACCTCTTCAGAGATGATTTTTTGGATGCCTTTGTTTATTGCTACTGTAAAAACGCAACCTTTATTTGTGTGTCTACATAGCTCAACCTTGCAACTGGGGTAAGGATAAACATTACATCTTGAAGAGCCAGACACTGCAGTTGCCATTTCAGAGTTTGCAACATAAACCCTTTTCTGGAGAGGAAGGAAGAGGTTTTTGGCTTTTGATTGGGGGAAAAAAACTGTGTGTGTGTGTGTGTATGTGTATGTATGCACATGTATACGTATATGTTCTGGTTCGGTTTTAAGGAAATAGTTTACATAAAAAAATAATTTATGCAGGGGAGGAAAAAATTTTGAAAATATTTTAGAAAAAGTGATGTTTCTGTTTTCTAGTAGTAGGCTCTTGCTCATGAAACTGTTGCTGTCAAATTCTTTATAAATATTCTAATTCTAAGGTTCATTTTCTGAAAAGGATTTTTCTGTTTATTCGAATGAAAAATGCTGTATAATGCACCCCAATGAGTAATCTGAAATAAGTACAGTGATACATTTTAGTGTGCTGAATATCTTTTTGCAAACCAAATTTTAGTGAGAACACACATTCCTGTATTCCTTTGCTTCGGTTTAAAAATGTAGGTTTATTTACAGTAGAGAAAATACTTCATGTTTGCTTCTTCTGTAATGCACCAGCACAATCTGAAAAGATTTGCTTCTAGTAACAAAAAGATAAAAATCTATTAGGTGGAGAAATACACTGATGAAGACATGAACATACAAAAGAATTAAAAGCTGTTCATAGCAAGGTTGTAAAGTGCTGTTTTCAAGTTGCCCTAATGCGATAACAACAATAATAATAATCAGAAATAACAGAAACTTTAAAAATAATTTAAGTCCAGTTTTAAATCTGAAATCGAATTTTAAATATATATTTCTAATTTTTTTTTTCATTTTTTTTCTGAGCACAAAGCTGTGCTGAAAGATATGTGCTGATAACAAGCACCATGAAGGGCCTGCTTCATGTCACTACCCTAGGAAATTATTTAGGATACTACAAAATGATCTAAACCATCAAATTTCTGTTCGGGTTATTTAGAAATTTTAAAATTTATTTTTTTTTTTTTTATTAAACAGAAATTTTGGTCAATTTTACAGCCTTTGTTCCTGCAGATAAATTTTATCTGTGTCGGCTTGATTCTGCAAATATTCTTGCAAGTGAGAGACCAGAATAAAAATGAAAGATGATTGCTCACATAGGAAAACATCTGCATTGCCAGTCTTAATAATCATGTGCCAACAACATTATTGTTTGGCACAACAAAAAAGATCATGAAGATCTCTAATTTTTAAATGAATTTAGGCTTCTTTTCATTTACTTTCTAGTTATTGGACCACACGATCTAGTTACTGTCACTCTTTC